TTATAGAAGATGTGAATATCTTAAAAGGAAGAAGAGAGAGAGAAAGAACGGAATTACACACCAGTTCCACACACCATGCTAAAATCCGTACTAGACGAATGTTATCTTCTGTAATTTGATCATTACGTATCATTATTTTATAGGCATAAATTAATGTCAAACCACGAGTTTTCTTGCCTCCTGGGACATTATATTGCAATACCTGCGTTACAAAGATCCATCAGTCTGCATATTTATTCTAATTTATGATTTATTGTTTTTTATTTTATTGTATCACTCTGTTTTAAGTTACTTCCATGTTACTGAAACACTCAATGTTTCTCTTTATTCATTTACATGCTTTTCTTGTAAGCTTCTTAAAATTTTTGCCACTTAATTTAGATGTTTATATTTTATTGTTTTCAATAAAATCTTACTTTAAATTGTTATATAAATTGTTTATAGTTTATTGAAAATTTTTACATTATATTACTTTGCGTTATGTCTAATTATCCTGAAGGAATTTATTATAAGATAAATCGCTAAATCTACTGAATGAATTTTAAGCAATTTTTACGTCCCACATTGGCTATTGTATAGTATTTTAATTAATACAAACTTACTTTTTCTATCCACTTAGCGACATCTGTAATATTTAAATCCTTAATCGCATCTATGATATCACGAACAATGTCCGGCCATATTGTCATCATCTCCTGACTTTCCTCCTGGCTCATTATTCGCATTGCTTGAGTTATGGATTGAGTCATTCTCACGTTCTAAAATTTAAACAAAAGTTAAACAGTACGACAAATGATAAACAACAATGACGATTCTGTCATTTCATGAATAAGAACGATATTAATTGCAAGTAATCACAAACTACCAGTTTAACAATTTAACAAGAAGCGATGAAAGAAAAATGTCGAATTTGTATTTTTGATATGTTTTGCGTTAATTGCTTTAACATTTTGTATCTTACTGAATTTGGTCGGATCTTCTTCAGAGGAAAAGAGGACGAAGGCTCAGAAAGATGACTGAACGCAACTATTTTTGCTTCGCTATATATACTCATAACAATACATATGTATATTGATAACAATACATATGTATGTTCTTTTTATGATCAACGAAACGACTGTACATTACTATTTATGTAATTTTCACATACATTGTTATATAATATTTTTTTGACAATATTAGCAATGTACTATTACTTTTTTATACGATATATGATCAGAAAAATTGCATATCGAAGGAAATATTAAGCAGGTGCTATCATAATTTTAATATAAAATTTGAATAAAAAGTTATTTTTACACAGCTCGCCTCACATTACCTCCGGTTGATGATCACCTTGACTTCTAAGGAAATCAAAGGTCGTGGACCTTTTCCGTCACTCAGTTCGTAACAAAAAGTTACGAAGGAGTAAACATACTGACGAAAATTGTATTTGTTGTACCCTGGCCTATAATGGGTTTTAGAAACTGCCATCAGTTTAAACATCGTAAGCCCCCCACATTTAATTTCTTTAACTTTACGTATCTGCGCCGTTAATAAAATTTTAATTTTTGAATGTTTTTTTCCTTTTTTTTCTTATTTGGTTGAGGAAGACTCTGTGGAGCTCGATATGTCCCTTTGAAACACTGTAATGTATTGAGGTATCTTTGTTTGCTCGTTTTTGATCTTGTAGTATTTATTATTATTTGAAGAAAATCAAAATTTTATCAAGGCCAAGACCGGAGAACATTTGTGGCGGGCTGTATATAGGTAATTTTTTACTGAAATTTGGTATTAAAATACGAATCCATTCTAAAATAAAATGTTTTACTCTCCTTTGCTCTCGTTCAGTAAGCAAACGTTAGTGTCTCTTATGACCGTCTGTATCGCTGTATTATTGCGGCTTTGATTTTTCAGATCAACATAATCTTAAGCCCATATCACTCTATGGATTGGGATTGAAAGTGGATTGATACTTAATCATTTATAATAAAGAAAACTGATCTCAAGTTTAGTGAAGTTGCTCTGGTATAAGCCTCATCATACGAGGGCAATGAAGAGTTAAGAAAATAACTTATATAAAGTTATATGTATGTAAAAATTATATGTACTAATTATAACTATATATGTATATAAAATATTATATTGCATTTAATCACCTTTTTTCAGATAAAAAATAATTCTTATAAAAATACATTGCACACTTTGTCTCCGTAATCAATATAATTCTTAGATAATTTCTGAAAAAATATGGGAAATTTTTTTACCAGAATTTCCTGACAAATTTATACTTACTGTACCTTTTGTATTAAACGCTTTAACATTTAATATTGGACTATATTTCGTCAATTTTTTCAAAGAAAATGACAGAAAAATAGCCTACACGTTATAATTTATTTATATGTATAATTGAAATTAATATTTTTCTTCATAAAATATAAACGCATTACAATGACAAATAATTGAAAGACTAATTATCAAGTTTAAGAAAATTTTTATTGATTTTTTCAGAGTGAAATATTTTCCTGTACATAAAACTTTATCAAAAAGATCTTTTGATATATTTTTCACTCTGAAGTAACATTTCGCAATACTTCTCGGACATTGGCAGAACACTTCTCATTTTATCTTATCCTATGCTCTAAATTTAATGCGAAAGTATATTTAACGTTTAACACATAAAGTTTAATACATTTTGTCTCTTTTTTTAATGTACACAACTGTTTTATGACGCTCTGTGATAGAGTTTCCCTAGTAAATTCAAGAAAAGACCATGTGGAAGCCCTCGTGATATCTGCTGTATATGTACATTTAATAGATTATATGTCTCTTCCTCGTATATAGAATAAGTGTTCGGCAAACCCAGATCAGTGTAGAGCTGTTTCACACGGTTCACTTTCTCCGGATCGGAAAATCCGTAACATTCCTGCGTAATAAGAAAAAAAGAGAAAGTATTAATACAACTGCGTTTGACGAAGTGCAATGCATCTGACCAACGAGACTCGCCTCTAAAATTTTACGCTGCTCCGGAGTGGCGCGTTGAAGAGCTACGACAACCAGCCACGTACATTTCCCTTCCTCTATATCAGTATTATCTTTGCCACAAGCCTCGGCATCCCCAAAGCAAGCCAAATAGTCGTCTTGAACTTGGTATAAATGTCCCATCTCTAACAAGATGGTTTTTGCTTGCCTGAACATCTCTGGGTCTTTTATTCCAGCCTGCATCAAGTAACAAGTAACAGTGCATTGTTATCATCGAAGCGAATCAGTCTTTCCGTGTTATACAAGAAAACTGAGGTTTACTCACTAACTGCATTGCCGCGGTTATTGGCAAAAGAAATGAGTAATGCGCTGTTTTATACTCGACAATAGAATTGTACCGATTCATCGTAAACAGATCCAGATTTGGCTTCTTGCCGAAGTTGGTAGAGAGCATATCTAGACTTTGGCCCATTATTGTCTTGAACGTGATCTGTTGACGTGAAAAAAAATATTTTTCTATATAATTGTTCGATTCAATGGAGAAAGGAAAGGTAAGCCAGCATTCGCATAATGTATGATCGGTAGGAAATATCTTCACTCACGTCCTGGAATGTTTCTAGTAGATTGACATAGCAGTCTTTCCCTTTGAAGTGCTTTCGAATTAGATAAAACAGAGCGCTCTCTAACATTAAACCATCGTTGACTGCCGCTAGACCTATGTCATTGTAACGATACCAACAGGGTTGGCCTCGGCGAAGCAACGATCGGTCCTGTATATCGTCGATTATGAGGAAATAGGCTTGCATCTGTAACAGTAAATATCTCAATATTACAATTCGTAATCGCGACACTTTATATTTTTAATAAAAATCGCTCATAAATACAGTATACTTTAATTTAATGGTGCTACAAATTAATATGTTACAGTATGTGTCTTGATTAAATGAAGAGTAATCGATTGCGGTTTATAAAAGAAATATCAGCGTCACAAAGGAAAGGAGAACAGCATTACGTACCAGTTCCATACACCATGCTAAAATTCGAACTAGACGAATGTTTTCTTCGGTAAGTTGGTCACTTGGTGCCAACACCTTATAAGCATAAACTAACGCTAAAGCGCGAGTTTTCTTTCCTCCCGGGACATTGTACTGCAATACCTGTGTAACAGAGAGATCCATCAGTCTGCATATTCGTTTAAATTTATGACTTACTGCTTCAGACTTTGTTTTATCGTTACAGATTTTTCTATATATTAGTAAACATAATTTTTTTATTTTCTATTAAATCGTACCAATTTTTATTTGTTGATGTGCCTTTCTTTTAAATGTCTATCTTTGAATTTCAATTTTGATTCAATTTTACTTTTTGTACATCGTCATTATGAGTAAAAGTTGACTTTAAATTTGTAAATTTGCAACTGTATTACGAAATCTTATTCAAACGTTTATGATATCTGATCATACGGAACAAATTTATTCCAGAATTAATCAATCAATCCATTACATGAATTTTAATCTCATATGTGTACTTATAATCGCTAATCATTTTGGTATTTAAATTCAATTATGGTATTTTAATTAATAAGTCAAATTAATTCAATGGTATTAATCAATAACGATTCGACTTACCTTTGCCATCCATTTGGTAACATCAGGAATATTGAAGCTCTTCGTCACGTCCGTGAGATCGCGAACAACGTCCGGCCACACCGCCATCAAATCCCGACTTTCGTCCTTGCTTGTTACCCATGTCGGTTGTGTTACGGAATGAACCATTCGCGCATTACAGTTTAATGTACTAAAAATATAACGAAATATAACGTTAAGAATTACGAAGAGTATCAGGTGACAATGACGATGCTCTGACGATCACTTCTACATTATACATGCAAATAAAATCGCGACGTTGCGATAAGTAAATCATGAAAAGAACAAAATAATTAAAAAACGGTGAAATTAATGTCTCTTATTGAATATTTATATTTCGATTTTTTGCTATTTTTGTGAAATATATTCAACATTTTTCACTTTGCCTAACTCTTTGTTTAACAAGGGACAGTCAGATTTGTCGAAAATAAAAGCTTTTTTGAGGAATTTATTACAAAGAAATGAATTGAAACTGAGACTTGTCCTTTAACACAATGTTTATTAGGATCATAAACTATAACAAAAAATTCTTTTTAGTGTAAAATATGCATTAAAAACTTTAAACGCGTTTTTCTCTGTTTCTTATTTTCTTTTCGTTTTGCAGCGATAACTCAGGCTCAAATTAATTGACTTAAGAAAAATTGAACATGTTTACAATATATAGAATATAATTTCGAATTAAACCTCTAAAAAGTTTATTCAAACTCTGGCTTTTTGAGAAAAAAATCAAACCGTTCTTTTCGTTTTTTGTTTGTAAAAAAAGCTGTTTGATTTTTTTCTTGAAAACTAGAGTTTGTACAGACTTTTTGGAGGTTTAGTCCAAAATTATACAGATTGTGATTTGAGTTATCACTGCAAAACAAAAAAACTTTTTTAAAAATCCTCTTCGATCAGCCATCTGCAGCGCCATTTTTCAATGCATATTTTCAACTAAAAAATTTGTTTTGTTACAATTCATGATTTTAATAAACGTTGTGTTAAGGGGCAAGTCTCGGTTTCAATTTATTTCTTTATAATAAATTCCCAAAAAAGAAGCTCAATTTATTTTCGACAAATCTGACTGCCTAGTTCACTTTAGAAGAAAAGAAAAAGACTCAGACAGGAAACGGAAAATTTTCATATTCTTTGCTTGTATTAAAATAACAATATACAAAGCTATGCAGATATCTATACACTTGTGAGAAAGAGATTTGCACATTCATACGATTGTCATGTAAATGTCAAAATAGTTAACCCATGGTGTAACCTGTTGCTTCCTATATGTGATATACTGTCATCCATAAATTCGCGCACAAGTATATAGAAAGATTTAGTATTAAGGCATGTACTACGTATAATTCAAAAATCAAGTTTGACAAGTTTAGAATCGAGTATAAATCGAATTGGTGTCGCAACGAATTAAATCAGAAAGTTGATGTAAATTTCTATTAATGTAAGACAAGTCCGAGTTCAAATATTTTCATGTCCATACACAGATATTAACGTATTAAGCTCGACTCAACACATTTATTCGGAGAAAGAACAATTGGAACGATTCGAATAACAACTTTAATTCAAGTTGTTGAGCGGAGAATATAAGCTGAAATAAAATAAAGTTTAATTCGCACGTAGAGTCAAGTCAAGTTCAACATTCATATCTGAATTGATTTTATATTTTCTAGGTATGTGGGCTTGTTGTTTACATAGAACAGCGATGCGTGAAGCTCTAAACGCGTGATGTAGCGAATCCGGCGAGTTTTCCGCGGAGATGCAGCACCCAGCAATTGGAAATAAGTGTTCGCTGAAATAATCACGAAGGTCGCGATTAATCGCGGCACGCAACGTGGATATATATCGCGTTTCTGTGTGTGTGTGTGTGTGTGTTGTGTGTTTCTTTTTAACGTAGTCAAAAGAAATTTTTTAAAATCACCATAAAGAAGATAAAGTATGACGAGGATTCAGCGTCGACTATGGAGATTTGATCGAAACCTGTTTTTCGAAGATCCACTCTCGTCGGCATGGATCCTGCCTTGGATCTATTCGTATCTGATAACGTGATTATTCCGCACACGGAAAAAAACAAAGTGTCAAATCAAAACTTATATATTACTCGTATATACGCAACAATTTATAATCTTTTTATACGAATTTAAACTTTTTATTTCAACTTTTTTTCTCGGTTACTATAAATTATAAAAATAATTTCATTCAAACAAGTTTTCTTCGCTTAACGTAATATAATTTTCTATCAAGATTATAGATTGTTGTGTATATATACGAGTATATAAGTCTTGATTCGACACTTTTATTTTCTGTGCAGAAATCTCTGAATATGCACTAGTAGAAAAAAATATTACTGACGTATGTCTGTTTAAATAATATGCAAAGCTCTCAAACAAATCTATAATAAGCCTAAAGAATAAACAGCGTGATTTACATAAGGTTCTGCGCTTTGTCAGTTATCAAACGCGTGTTTGTTTGCATGCATAAATAGTTATCGGGTTCATTTGCATCGTCGATCTCTATCTGATCTATGTGCATTCCAACTTTGACGTCAGAGTATTATCACGGTGCGTCTCACTCCGCGTGTACTTGGCGCGAGATATCGTGTCTCTTGACAAGTCATTATAAAGGCGGCGCCGCAATCATTAGGAGTATAATTCGAATAATAATATCGTACAGCATGTAAATATAACGATGACGTAAAATGCAATGTATAATACATAATAATATCAAATTAGAAACTGATAACTGACAATTTACATCGTGCATTTACCGACTGCAAAATCGATGAACAAGGTAACTCTTTCGTTCTGAATTAATAGAAAACATCTATTACTAATGTTCTGAATTAATAGAGAAAAATTATTACTGACGTATATCCATCTCAGAATTTTGGATTATTCAGTTGCGCTCAAATCGTGAAAAAACTTTGGAGGAGTATCAACGCTTTCGCTAAAATATAATTTTCGCTTTTAACTAAAGTATAATTTCGACGTGCTGTAAAAATTATTTTCTCAGATTCCTGTTTTCTCACTACTGCCGCATTACGTTAGAATTGTATTATGTCAGAATTACGAATCTCTACGATAAAAAAAATCGTTCTTTTGTTCCGCGCACGTTGAAAGTATAGTAACATACGAAAAAAGAAACTGATCATTCGTATTGCAAGATTGACAATCGGTCGCGCGATTTTTTCTGTCATAATCATTGTTCGGTACATATTTTATAACAAGAAAAAATGGTGGCTTTAAAATTGAGTATCATGTAATTATGCGCAAACTTTCAGGATGTCTCTAAGTATGTCGAGGATCTCGCACGAATAAGAAACATATTATTCTTTTAAACATTACGGAAATACGAAAGTCCGTGGCTGGAGCGATAATCGACGGTCAATAGAGCTTTTATTTGCTATAGCCGATACGACAAAGAAGCGCTAATAAAAGCGAAACAACGCGGAAAGGTAAATCGAGAAATTGACTTATCTATCCGGCACCGACGTTCCACGTTCCACGTGATAACCACGACCTGACGGAGCGCACGTTACGGATCAGGCACGTCATTTCTCGTATAGGATATGCGAGCGTGGAATAGCGCCGAGTAAACAACTTTATCAATGATCTAACAAGATGCGTTCCGAGATGCGAGAACGTTCAGCGCGTGGAAGCCTCGCGAGGAAATGTACGCAATATAAAAATAGCTTTTATTTTGTGACGTGTTAACGTTAAACACGTGCCGCAGTCGTTATCATCGCCGTGAGTCACGAAGCAACGTCGCTTTATCAGAAAGGTACGTGCAATATCGGGCGTAATACCGATCGAAATTAACGGACGATTAAAACGAATCTAATTACGGCTTCCTGCGAGATACACTCGCCTTGTGCGCGAGCGAATCGGATCGAACAGAGGAAGCGAACAAAGACTCAAAACAAGTTGAAATTACATTCGAATTTTTGCTTCGTCAAATTCGAATTGTGTTTATTGATTTTTAAATTAAAAGTAATTAATTTATTAAAGTTCGTTCTTGATTAAATAAGTAAAACACGACCGATATGCAATCAATTAGAAAAAAACGATATAATTATTCGCATTATTGTGAATTATTTTATGTACATTTAATAATATCATAGTGTTTTTTCCTGATTGATTATTCTTGATTCTCTCGAATTTTACATTTCGACGGACATTTTCGTAGATACGTATATAAAAAAAGATAAGTTTTATCAATTCTGCTCTATGATTTCGCGGTGGTTATTCTAACATATGCAGCACATTATTACGTATAACTGTATACCTTAGAGGTAAATAATCTCTATTATTATGTATTTATAGAAAACAAGGTTTAAAGTTTTAACTATGGAAATGGTGTATTTTTTAGATATATAAAATAAAAGTAGCAACTTGCTATTGAGTTTTTAATGCAGTAATTTATAACTGGCATGTTTAATAGTACAACTGCGAATAACACGTTGTATATCTGACCAAAATTATGGCATTACGAAAATTTTTAAGGCTTTTTCTAAACATTGTATCTTAGGAACTAGTAGTAATAGACATGAGATCCTTTACCATGATACAGTTCAAGGTTCTGATATATTTAAAAATTAATTCCATTTTGACCAAAACTAAACATACAATTTTTTTTACCTCTAAGGTATTTATACAATATACATATTTGCATTTGCATGATGATTTGTATTATTTGCCGCTGAGACACTCGAAATATATAAATATTTAGACAATCGCGCACTTTATCAGAACAAAGAGCCCGCGTTTGAAATCAGCTGTTTTAACAGAGGCAATTAATTTCGATTGAACCGTGCCTCGTAAACAAACGAAGAGAAGTTTAAGTTTAGCCGGGGTTATAAGGGGAAAATATTTTAACCGATCGCTCGAAGCATCGATGAACGGATACGAGCTGTGAATTCCACGGGATTTGAAAACCTAAATTCTCTCTCGCGGCGGAGAATCGTTCCGCCAATCGATTTTTACGATCTCCCGGTCGCCTCGTTCATCGTATATGTACATACATATGTCCGTGACGATCGCATTCGTGACTCGAGTGAAAAGTCAACAAGGGATTAACGCGCAGGTGTTTGTTAAAACGACTTTTATGTGCTAGAACGTGCTTTCTCACAAGTGTATCCGATAAAGATCGAGACAGAAATAGAAATAGAGAGATAGAGAAGAAAAGGCATTGATTACACGAGCCTTTTTGTCGTCAGCGATTTGCATGACAATTGCGCATCGAGGAATGCTGATGCAGCTGATGACCGATTATTCCTTTTTTCTCCTTATACAGACATGCACCACAGACGCGCGCGCTACGCGCTATTTAGCTTTAACATTATGCTCTATTGCTATTACACCTATTAACTCTTTGATACACACAACTGTCAAAATATACGATGACAGCTGCGAATGATGTAAGCGCAGCGAGAGAACCAATTATCGGCATCGCGGAAAAGAGGCAACAATAACCGCGATAGTATTAGAGTATCGACTTTGCACGCCTTTTTTAGGGAGGGATTATTGTACACAGAAAAAAAAAGAAGTGTTAAATCAAAACTTATTACTCAAATTAACGCGTCGTTTCGTGTATACGCAGCAATCTATATTCTTATAAGAATTTCAACTTTTTCTCCTTGGTTGAACTATATATAAACGACTTCATTCAAGTAAGCTTTTTCTTCGTTTTCTTCGCAATATAATATCTCATTTCAAAATTTTTAAACTCGAGATATTTCCAAATCAAGAATATTCTGTTTTCTGTGTACAGAAGCTGAAATCGCGTACCCGTTCGCGAGAGATTCTCCTGGTAAAATCGAAGACGGTTCCAAAGCAAAGATTAACCGTTAATTGAAGAGGAATGTGAAACCGAACCGTGAAGATTGACCGGGCAATTCCTTGTCGACTAATATCTTGTCGACTATTTACGGGTAGGATCTATCTTTTGCGTCCACGCAATTTTTCTTCTCAATTAGTTCAAAGAAGCAATACCAAAGAATTGTTGAAAGAAAAAAAAATTATGCGACGTCCAAAGTTTAATCAGACTCGCAGTTGGCGGAGTATTAAACATAAAAATATTTCGAATCGGAAAACGCAAAGAACAATTCTTCCTGAATC